GCRGGTTTGTCCTCAAAACGAGGAAGAACTCTATTCATTCATTCATCTCCAATTCATGAAAAATAGTTGGGAATGGAACCCTTTGGGAATGCAATGGAGCAAAGCCTTGGGGAAGAAGAACCAGTAAAAAAAACCCTGAGCTCAGTGGGAATTTACTGCAGCTTGAGACATGCCCATTCCAGGAGTACCAACCTGGATAAYCACCATTGGTTTAAGATGACACTTCTGCATGCACCCTTCTGGTGGAGCTGATAGTGCTGGAGTTGCACATTTCCCACAACAAAACACCGTTTTCGATGTAACCGTTGTTTTATTTCCACAGACCCTAAAGGTTAATCACCTGTCCATGTAATTTAGACACCCATTACAACAAAATCCACAGTTAGCACCAGTGCTGTTTGATGTGGGTCACAGTGGGACCTTCTGCCTAGCTTGGACTACCTGCCAGGGTTTTCTGAGGGAGGAGAAGAGAGCTTTGGAGAGCCTTTCTCCAAATATCAGAGATGTGGTTATCTCTGCTGGTGAAATCATCCTTTTTCCTCACTTCTGCGCCAAGGGGAGCGATGCCACAGATATAAGTCTGTGCTGCACTCTCCTGCATGGCTGTGTGGAGTAAGAGGAGCAGAGCTGCATCGTGTGCCCTGAATCCACAGACCAACACTCACGTGTGCAGAGCGAGCACCAAAGCTCAGGAGTGCACAGGGGATCAGCTCCCGCCGCAGGCAGAGGAGTCCCATGCAGCTAGTGGGTTATTAAACAGCAGTTTGAGGGCAGGGGCCTATAAAGCCATTCTAAGTCATATTTTTGCCTTTTTTTTTTTTTTTTTTTTAATTAAAAAAGCTTTAACTTTCCCCTCACCACTTCTGGGCTGAATTGGTTTGATCCAGAGAGGCAGTTATGCATAAGAGCAACCACTTTATACTGAATTAGCAGATTTCTCATGCAACACATCTCACCAATTACAAGGCAGGGATGCAATTCTATGATTTATAACACATTATACTGTTAAGTAATATAACATTATAGATACAATTTGTACCTRTCTCTCCATGGATTAGAGAGGTGGCACATGAAGAGTGGATCATTAAACAGCAGTGCAAGGCCAGGGGCCAAGCACTTCTGTTTAACAAGCTGCTCCAAGTACCACCTCTCTAATCCATGGAGAGACAGAATAAATTGTTCCTGCATCTTGTTATAAATCACGTTCTTTGGGGTATTCTTTTTTAATATATAAAAACAATAATATCTGTTTTGGGACATCTCTTTCCRGGGCTGAGCTAGTTTAAGCTGAAGGCACTTCTGTTCGGAAGCCATCTGAAGCCAGACTGTGTGATTTGCAATCCGGCCCAATTTGGGGGTGGCTCCTGCAGTGCGTGCTGGCTGCCCCATCCCTCTGGATGAGGGGAAACCTCCCCGTTGTCCAGACTAGCAGATGGCCAAGGCTCCCTGTCCTCCCAGGAGAGGAGACCTTTGAGAGGACAGAGTAGATGCAGTGATACTTCCCCAGGGGGGCTGCCAACCTGCTCCACGCAGTGGGCACCTGCAGCAGATGAGGGGGAGCTCTTTGATCTCCATCCCTTCTACGGACATTGCCTCTCTTTAAATAAGGTCAGTAAATGCAGATGCATAAAAACACCAGGCTCTGCAGACAACCCACCTCTTTACAAAGTTCCCTCAGGTATTAGGGTGCTGCACCTCAGCTTCCAGGTTTATTGAACTCCATTATACTGCCCTCAGCTAAGGCAACACCTTTATATAGCATGACAGCTCCCGAGCTCTCCCAGAGGGAGGCACACTGAAGTGGACTGAAGATATAGGGACACTGCTAGGCTGCCTTACACTAACACATTGTGTGATGAGTCATTGATTTCTATCGACAGTTTCATTGTAATATGGGAACATCACCTGCATTCATCTTTCATCCATTCCTAACGTAAACAATGGTCCCTGTGAAAGAAAAAGGATAGATCAAAATAAGAAAAAAGAAAAACACAATCAAGAACAAAAGAAAACAGTTTTTTTCCTTGAAAACAAGTGGAAAAATCAAGCCCATTCAGTAACTACGCAGAGCACAGAAAACTATTAATAGAGAACATTATTTGGGAAATTCTATCACTGTTTCCATCTGCAAATTATTTGCAACCCCCCTGCCATTCATTCATTTTTTTTTCCAATTTATAAAACTACATAAAATTAGCATTCTCCAGCAACTATTTTCAGCCTGAGAAGAATTAAGTCACATTTACAGTGCTTGCTGTGGACACATCATTGCTGATGCTGTGACGCAGTGCTGTTCTCTGACCAGATGAATGGCTCTTAAGCAGGTACTGGAGGAGACTAGGATCAGGCCTTCAGTGCATTAAGTTTGAAAAAGAAGCAAAAAAATGAAGGAGAAGCAAGACTTGGAACTGGCTCTGCATTACATTAGGCATTCCCATTAAAAGAGAGCAGCTCTAAAACTAATGTTGATCTCTTCACACAGAGAATGAAAGTGCATATTAACGCATTCTCAGCGTCTAAGACACAAATGAGGTAGCCAAGTCATCCAATTTTTTGTTCATTTACCTCTGGTCTGAGGTTTTGTATGTTCTTCGCAGCAAAGTGCATGCAGGATAAAGATAATACTCTCAGGATGCTGCCTTGCCCTCCACTTTCTACAAACCGAAGGGACACAGACTAGAATATGCAAATGTTTCAGTCTATTCTGGGTTATTTGAAACTCCAGCAGACACATAGCAAAGATATTACTGCCAGCATGGGCCCCCTCTATGTTTATAAACGCTGGGCAGAAATATTCCCACAAAATGCAAACTGAAATTTGCTAGTTTCTACTTTTAAGCCACCTGCTGCTTTTCACTGCTACTACTCCCTTGAGCTTGCAAATGCAGCAAGTTTTACTGGACCAAAAGGTAAGACTCAACGCCCTCCACAAGTACCAGGCATCCCGAGAGATGTGAATCCTCAAGTACAAGTTTCCACGCCATGCTGAAACAGAAAAAGACCCTGGAGCCTTGAAAAAAAAAAAATCTGTCTTCATTTCACTTTCACAGGAATTCAAATGATTTACCAAAATTCCCTAAGCAATTTTCCTGCAGCACAGCTCCCTAATGAAGCTGGGGAGCTGGCTTCCCTCTGCTCTGGAGCCAATTGCTAGTCTGAACTGAGCAAAACACTTTGTGGCTGCTACAGGCCTGTGATGGGCACGAAAGGTAGCCTTGAAAGACCAAGTTTGAAATTGGTTTTTCATGGTAAGGTTCTGGCCACAGCTTAGTCATCAGCCAACCATGTTTTCTAGTGACAGACTATCCCAGTATCATGGGGCATCGTGTCTTTATTGGGAGGCATTTGTGTGGGTCACCTTAAGGTAGGTTGGTTCTGGAGAATGGTTACTCAGGATATAAGTGGTTCTCCTTAAGAAGTCCCAAACTGAACAAACAGTAACGTGAACATTCAAAGCTTTTTGCCTTATAGATTTTCAGCATAAATAGAATCTTAAGATATTTTGCTATATTGTCTCAGACAACGAAGAAACAAAAGATAGGAGAGGAAAAAATAAAATAAAATCAAAGCTTCATCAGTCTTGATACACACACAAAAAAGAAAGTACGTATGAAAAGGAGAAAGCAACCAAAAAAATAACCCTATTGAGGCATTTGTTATCCTATGCATGGTCTGTCCTGCCTGTTCAGTTGACATCTTCTCTCCAGATACATAGCATCTAGCTAGATGTCAGCTAAAGAGACTTCCTTGGATATTCAGTTGCATCCATCTCGCACAGACAGAAGAAACCTGACAGGGCCTGGGATGTCTTGGCAAGAACGAGAAACAAAGAGCAGCCTTGGAGGGAAGGGCTGCAGCTGTATCAAGACTCCCCCTTTCCTTCTTCTCCATCCTCCAGGCCCAGCTGGACTGAACGTCCCAACTGCTCTATCCCCATTAGCAAGGGGGATGTGGGAAGCGCAGGGCTGGCAAGACACCCGATACACTCAAAAGGATCCGAGAACCCCCTCAGGTTCAGTAGCACCCAGAGTTTGCCAAATCATTTCAGCTCATCTCTAATTGTCAGAGATCTCTATTAGCTCTGTTGTGTGGCTTTGACATAAGGATGAACAGAAGGGCTGTTACTGGCTAGTGATAGGAGAGGAGCTTCTGGTCCAAGGAAGAAAAGCATCTTCCACGGCAGCAGGAGAATTTTTCTTTTTCTCTTTTTGTTCTCCCCACATAAGCTATACTACACRCAAGGCTAAACAACAAGGACAAAAGACAAAGGGATCACTACACAATGGACGTCCACCAGCTTCAACTCTTCCTAATGCCGCAACTTTTCACAATGCCATCAAACAAAAGGCTTTATTATATTGCTTCACTGTTTTATGCAACAAAAGATCCACTTCATAATCATCTCCAAGAGAGCGAAAAAAAAAAAAGAGAGAGAGAAAATAGCACGATGAGCAGCTATGACACAGAGCACAGCTCCTCCTCCAGCTACAGGAGGTGGCTTGCTCCACGGTGGCAGCTCTTTCTCAAGAGCACTTGATCCTGGGATGCCTGGTCTCTCTGCTACCCTGTGCCACAACTTTCAGCACGCCGACGGAGGGAAAGAGCTTTAAGTGAAAAAGAACAGCCTCACTAAGGGCTAAAACTGATCTAAGACGAGGCTTTCTTCAGTTATGCCAATATCCAGATCTTTCCACACGATGTCAGGGAACACGAGCCCAACTTAATAAAACCCCAAACATGTTTTCGGTTTTGCAAACAGTGTTTCATTCATGCATGTCTGTCTAGAGATGCATCATTACAATTGCAATGAGATAGCTGCCAACCCTGGAAGAGTATATTGCTTAGTATACCTGGAATGATAAAGACAGATCAAAACAGTTTTATGAGATTAAAATTTCACTATTAAAGTTTCACTACGTAGAAATGAGAGAAAGATTAAGTCAGGCCAGGAGCTAGAAGTTACCTGAGCTTCTCAAATAATCTAGGGCCACGGACACTTCTGTTTAGACTTACATATTTTTTTTTTTTTCAATTTATAAAACTACATAAAATTAACATTCTCCATTTGCATACTTTTCCCTAGTATGATAAGCAGCAAAAACATCCTTTAGAGCAACTCTGATCCCAGGTGTGGTGACTCCAGGAGTAAACCCAGCCACACGTTACATCCTCAGGTCAGACATTCGGGTGGCGACTGCTCCCACTCTCACAAATGGGCAGCTCAGCTACTTGAAATGAGATCAGAAATAGGGAAAATAAACCAACCCTAAATTGAAGTGCTTTCAACGTAACATAATTACACTACATCATGTTTACTTATCTTACATATACACCAAAACAGAAGATAAATGCCTAGTAAAAACCACGATCCACTGTTAAACAGCTATAAAATACTCTGCTGTCTTCCCATTTCAACAGCTTCTGTAGTACAAAGAGTGGTCAGAAGTTCAGTGAACTGTCTTGTAGGCTGGTGCTCCATTCYGACTGTGCTATTTCCAGAGAGTCTCCTGACACCGTATCTAATTTCCAAAATGAATATGCTTTAATTTTCCTTCTTCATGCATTGTGCTTTTTCCTCATTTGAAACAGCAACAGCCTCTGGCAGTAAAGGACATCACATTTCTTTGCAAGATGAAGTTTCCCCCTCCCCATACCAAAGAATGGCATGGGTCAAGGGAGAAAAAATGTATGCAAAAAACATCACACCCCAGTGACCCCAGTATATTTTACATTACAATTTTGCCATTTCCAATATAGGTTCATTTTGCAGTGGACCATATCAGCCATATTTCAGGATTTACAAAAAGAAAAGAAAAAAAAAATCAGTACCTGGAGCATTGTCTGCATACAGTATGCCCTAATACAATATATGGATTGTCTTATTAATGTGTAGTGTAGCTTGCGGAGAACACACGCACACAGTGGGAATACTTAAGCATCCCCGGGATGCAGCACAGAAGTATGGATGGTGCATTTGTATATACATCCAATTATATCTGCAGCTAATACAGGAGTGCATTTCCTTCCCCTAAAATAAAAAAGAAATAAAAAAAGGAAAGACAATTATACAGCCCAAGAGAAACCCCAGCTTCACCAAAATCTGTAGGATTTGCAGTGAGGTGGACATTTTACCTGTTAAACCTGCCTCCAAAGAGCCAAACCAGGGGGCACTTTAAAGTTCATTTATCTGCTACTGCCGATTAATAGGCCTCATTCCACTTTTCCATAAGGCCAGCAGAAAGAATCCAAAATCCACAGCAGCTCCTAAGTCTTCTCAAGTCTTTGAAATAACCTTTTACCCCCACCCCTCTGAGGGTTTTAATGAAAGTCAGCTGTGGCCACATGCACACAAGTAAACTTATCAGGGCCACCTGAAGCTTATGTTAATAAAGCAGAATTTGTTTGAAATGGTGGCTTTGGAGGGTGAGGTACATGTTGTATCCCACCTTCCTTTCTCCAAGATCAATGCCCCAAAAAAGGCTAGTTGGGTGAAATCACTGTTTAAAGTGAGGGCAGAAATATTGATGTTAGCCAGATATGCTAATAAAATATGCTTGGGCATATTTTAATTTAAGAGCATCAGTACTTTCACTGATTGATGTCAGCAAAGCTGGATAAGTGTCTGCAGGAGTAGATTTCTACCTAAGAAAAAACTACCTATACGGTCAACAGGAGGAGTGCCTGACTAAAGACCATAACAATTTTGGCTTCATGTACTACAAAGACCATAATGCTCATAGAGCTGACAGGTCTGACCATTACAAACAAAATCATCATCCACTATTTTGACAGAAAATCAAAGATGTCTGACTTTCTTAAAAAATACCACCTCCCATAAAAATCCTGCTGCCACCTAGAGATGATCAGCTGGGTAAAGTCGCAAGAGAGGAACAGTAAAAGCATACAAGCATCTGAAGGTTAAATGTGCCAATGAAAGCAGAATTACATACCGGGGACTAATTAAAGGGAGGTGGAAAGAAAGAAATAAAAGAAAAAAAAATCTGGTCATGCAAAGACTTACAATTCATCAGTCTCTTTCTACACCAAGTGAATGCTCTACTCTGCAACTCCCTTGAAAAGGAGCAAGTGCAGGTCCCCGAAGTGCCAGATTTCCCCAGCTTATCATCTTGAGAAAGACGAAGCACAGTGGCACCAGAGAGCTTTGCTTATGACCTGGAGAATAACAGCGAGACTTACCTGAAGTTCAGTGGTTCACAGAGGGCTGTGACACTGCTTGAGTCTCCTTAAATCAAGGAGTAGAATATTACAGCAACAACAACAACAACAACAAAAAAAGCAGTATTTCAACATTTCAGTCATTAGCACTAACTCATGCAACTGTTCTGCACCCCGATACTGCCAGCTCAGGTCCCCAAGTCATGGCTCAGCAAACACCACATCCTGGTGCAGATGTAGTGGTGGGTGGGAAATAACTCGTTTAGGTTATTTCTAAGGGCTGGACAAGGAGATGGAGCAGGGAGCTATGGGCATGTCATGGGGAAAAGCCTCCCRAAATGAGAAGTAGCTGTGGCCTTGAGAGCTCAGGGAGGGGAGACAGGAGGAATCTTTGGAAAATGAACCTAAATTCAACAGCGAAAGCAGCGCTTTTTTGTTATTTTAAGTAGAAAGGGTAAAAAATGCAATATTTTCTTCAGCTGTTAGCTCTCTTAAATGTCACGGAGAAGCATCCTGTTGCCTGGGAAGTTGTAGACTCGGGGCTCAACAGGTTTGCTTGCTTATTGTCAGCATTTACCTGAACCGGTTTTTAATAAAAGCCTCGCAGAAAAGAAATCTCCTGCCTGAGATGACATGTTAGGAACCCAAGCTGAGACCCTGGAGAATTGTTGAGCTATTTAGTGACAATCGATTCCATCCCCAAATAAATTCTGTTGCTTCATAATTGCCGAGGCCTTTGTGTTGGATTTGCTCTCCTATGCTCTGTGCAGGACCTGCTTTTCTTTTAAACAGTTATCAGACTATCCTTATTGTGGGGTTTACTTCTACAGCCCCAAGAACTTCTGTATCTTTATGGCAAATGTTGCTACGTTTCAAGTGGCCAATTCTGGTAAACCAGCTGTGATTGAGGGCAGAAAATGGTACTTTCTATGTTCACTTGGGGCTTTGTACTTATCAAAACGAACTTGTATTTCATTAATTCATAACAGCAACAACAGTATTATTATTATAATTAATAAWAGTAATGATGATGATCCTTTTGGCTTCAGAGCACCCATTTCATCGCAGTACCAACTGCTGAAAGTACGACTGCTAAAAAAAACTGTTTTGAAAAGGGAAAAGTCTGGAGGCAAATTATGAAGGAAAGAGTAGATATTAATCATCTTTAAAGTCATTCTGTCTCAGGCATTATTTTTCTTTTCTTTCATTATTCATGAYGAGCTTTTGTCTCAAGGCCAAGCAAATTCGTAGGGCCTGACCCATCCAAACACAGCCATGACTATCTGAACAGAGCCGGCCAGCTGAGACTATATGTAAAAGGAAAAAAAGCCTAATGGGGAAAATATCAGATAGCTCTAACCAGTGGATCTAAGCACATCTAGAAAAACAATCCCACCTCTGATCACTTTGTTTCCCAGCACTTGGCTGGTGTTGCCATCCTATTGATGTGGAAGCACCAAGTAAGCAGACTTATACACTGGGACAACACCAATGGGCAACTTGCTCTTGGAGGAGGCTATTAAAGCTCCTGGCACGCATACACACACACAAAGAAAAGGAATTACTTTGGCATATCCCTATCTGTAACCACATTTCTTTAACGCCAGAGGTTTACAATGGAATTTTTTGGCAACCTTTACGGTAGCTGGTGTACTTTGGGTACTCTGCAGTAAACTGAACATCGCATATATTCACTTCGACTCCATAAATGTGTGCAGAACATGCAGTTAATAATTAATATAATTTTATAAACCCTTAGGTATATAAATACACAGGCATCCTCGCATTTTTCCTGCTTCTCTGCAACAAATACCCCAAGTGAAACAAATTTAACAAGATGCATTATACAAATCTGCAGACAGAAGTTGTATCAAAATTTTAACTATCTTCAGCAAGAAAGTGCTTCTATTTCAAGTAACGCTGGCAGCATATACTGTAGCTAGGCAGCCGCRTTTATTTTCAATTATCATTTTTGCCTTTTTATACAGCATAATGAAATGCCTGGTAAATTATACATTTTTGTAAAACACAAACTTGTCTCTTTATTTGCAGCGCAAGTCTTGCAGTATCATTTTGTCTGCATTAGTTCTAGCTCTTTGTGAGAAGCCAATTACTTTTCTTAGCTGTAATACRTACAGTATGATATCTTACTTGCCGGTTCTCACAGAGCTAAGTGGCCACGTCTGAAGTGGAGACCTGCAAAGAAAASGATGAGGGGCCCCTGTGCCCCACTTGCCAGAAAAGCATCCAGACTTTTTCACTCTGGATTCAATCCTAAGGTTTTCAGCTCCCCCATGATAAACAAARGCAGATTTTGGGGGGAAAAAAGTGYATAATATCTCCCCCCAGTTCCTCCTTTAGAAAGATGCTCTTGTGGCAGATGGAACTCAATATGCCATCTCCCAGATCTCTGAAAATATAAAGTTCACTTACACTAAGGGGCCATATAGATCTATACTTTTTGATTCCCTGTCTTTTTAACTGGCACGTTGAACTAGTGAACACCTCTTTAATCTTGCCCCATTATCATCCTAATAGTACCTCCCGATATTCATAAATGTCTAGCAAGACTTTCAGCTATTTTGTATGAAGAAGAAATACCCAGCTAAATYGAGAAGATTACCACATCACCACATAAATCAGTGACAGGCTGCGTGTTATTACAGTTGATTTTTGTTGACAGTTGGCTGTAGGCAGTTGTGTTTCAAATGCCTTTYTTCACTGGGAAATTAAACAAAATTCCATGCAAAATGCAGCCCTCCAGTTCAAAAACTGCAAATCCCAAATTAGCATTTCATACTTTAAAAGGTAGCACAGCACAATTTTCCATTGAAAGGTCTGTACAGTTGTCACAAATGGGTGCTTCACACATGACACTAATGCTACTGATGCCTTTTAAGAAAGCCACCTTTCTCTGATATTATTTTCTTCTCCTAATAATCTGCATACACTATAGTTCATCCCTATGGAAAAGAGAGAAAGCTCACTTACTTATCTCTCATATGTGAGCATTATGCTTTCAGCAATTCAGACAGATAGGCTGGATTGGAGGGGGGTGGGTTACCGAATCCTCCACGATAAGAAGGAAAGAATTGTGGACAGCGAAAGGTTAATCTTCCCTCATCTGGTTCCTTCTTCCATCTTAGCATAACCTGGAGAGCAGAGAAAATGATCGACTTAGGGAGAGAAAAGACACACTGGCAAAAATAATGTTCGCATTGTATCATACAGTGCTTTGTGTACAATGGCCATGCGTGACCTAATTAAAGAAAACCCACTGCTAAAAGTCAGAAAAGCAGCTTGGGAGATACAAAAGAGGAGTTGAACTTGCAAAGGATTTTCTCCTTCAAGAAGCTCCTGATCAGCCATTTTTTGGCTTGGATATTACCCACTGTAAAGTCAAATTTCTAGTGACTCCAGTATCAGCAGGTAGCCCAAGCAGAAAGAGTTTAGAGTGCCTTCCCCATCTCCAGACAGATATCTAACATTGGCTCTTTCTTGGCTGCTAGCTTGGAAAACAACAACGATGACAACAAAAGTTACAATTTTGGCTATATATAACACAGCATATTAAGGCARAGCATTGTGATGTTTACTTCTGGGCACAGGCACAGACATGTAATGTAGTTTGTCAGCCAGAAGATGTTACATGAGTCTTCACATAAACACGTAGCTGGCAGCTGACTGGCTGCTGGCCACTGAGAGTCAAATGTTCTCCGGTCAGTGCTACTGGGCTGAAAAACAAAACACTGGCCAATTTGCTCAGGTTCCCTTTTTTCCCTCAGTTGGAAGGCAGGAGCACGAGGCTATGGGCACGATGTCCTGCATGAAGGACCTCACAGCCCTTTCTGCCAGCCCTTTCCACCAAAGGACAGCGTGTAGAGGGCCCCCAAAGTGAGGGTAACAGGCATGGGCGCACAGTAGCAAGAATTAAAAGCAGAGATGATCTTGTTTCTGGGACAGCTCTTCTTTGCCCTGTGCCTACAAACCATTTAAGGTCWAATCCTGTCTTTGAGGGCTTCTATAATACTTTGAAAGATGTGTGCAAATCACAAGAAAGCCTTTGGAGCTAAGGAACACCTCKCTGTGCTCATACCTATCAGATATGTACTGCAGGAAGCCTGAAGCAGAAATACAAATACACAGATCTACCAGTATAAATACCCTGGAATACCCTGATGATGACTGTGTTGTGTAATTCCACTACTTGTAATTGAGAAGAAAATAAACTCATAGTAAACGYTGCCAATAAAATGAAGTATTTCAGTCAATACGGAAATGACTTGATCTGACTTTGTCATTAGACCATCTAAACAGCTGCCTCTCATTTGTTCATTTCTGGGTCAAGGTTTTGTTTTTACAGCATATACCAATTTTCTCCCTGGTGCAACTCTAGTGACACAACCAGATAAAACATCAATGAGAGCCTGACCCTGACCATCCCATGATGGTACAAAGTATGTTACCTTCTGTGCCGCAGAGTAATCAGTAGTGAGGTTGACCATCTCTTTTGCTGTTGTTGCCAGCATTTTGCATGAAAATAGGTGTCTTAGAAGTAATGGGAGACAGSAAAGATTAGTTATATTGAGCAGAAACTTACAACAGTAAAAAAAAAAAAAAAGACTAAATTATTATTTCTTTTTGGGGGGAGGGTTAAAGAACAGTAGAAGCGTCCCACATAAAAAGTTCTTGGCACTGCACTARGGCTTGGGCTGGCATTAGTGAACAAGGCCGTCAAATGGCAGAAAGCGATTCCTTGCAAAAACTAAACGAACCAAATAACCAAAGTAACCTAGTGTTTGTTTCTCCACTGCCCTTTCAGTGTCATGTTCAGTGTCACTGTTGCTCGCTTCTTGTGTGAGCAGACATGATCCCACAGGCAACTCTTTGCAGGAGACCGCAGCAGTCAGCAAAGCCAGGCTACACCAGAAGTAGGTCCAGGGTCCTCCTGCTCTCAGGCCTGCTGGAGAAAAAGGATCTGACCCAAAARGGGGAGAAATGGGAGTACATGAGAAAATGGTGAATAGGATAGAGCAATTCTTTGTTGCAGAGTGGCTGGAAACACAGGTCTGTCTCAGCTTTGCAGTTGAGTGCATTGAGTCACTCAATAGCATTGACTGAATGACTTACCCCTTATGCAACACAGARTTACTTGTATTTAAGATATGTACAGAATATTAAATTATCTATTAATGGATTATGCCAGTAACATGTCTCTTTTTAACTCTATGGAAATATTATATCTTCATACCTGTTTTCCAATGAATATTTCACAGACTTTCAAACCACACATGAGAGGTCATCTCCCATTTTTCCTCAGCACGTGCTGCGAGCCCCACAGTGGTGGCTGGCACCCTTGTCGCAGCGGTTTTCAGCGTTACTCGACTTGTGAGCTCCCAAAATGTTTCAAGGGCAGAAATGGTTATTGAGGTTAATTTAATACTGCAAAAACAGGCTCTCTTTTCATGTTTCTCTGTTGAAGTCTTCATGCAATAGTCAAAAAGACCTGCAGGCACCGTGGGTCTCCCTCAGTGAGACTCGCTGCTAGGCAAAAGGCAGCAACCAGTTTCTTGCAGGGAATGCAAGCCAGTTTCTGACACAGGCCAAATGGGCATGGTGAAGGAACACAATCCACAGGGAAAACACAATTTCCAAACCCAAAAAGCCCTACACAAATACAAAGCAGTGAAAACCAAAGCAGATTTTACATACAAAGCTGCCTATTCTGATAAAAATGAGAAGACAAACTGAAAGATCACTGGGGAGAAGGGGCTCAACTGTATGAGATGTTATTGCCAAGCACAGCGCTTGGAACAGTGCATAAAGATGTTTGGTGAGGACTACAATTCGAGACAAAATTACTGCAGGAGGATATATTTGGTTTGTACACACACACAGAGGAATTTTCTATCAGATTAAAAGCCCAAGTATGGCATCTACCTCCACCTTCATAGACAAGGAAGCTGCTGTATTGGAGACAATCTAACCTGGTACATGAGATCCCAGCAGAGTGAACACATCACGTCCCAGCTGATGACTATGTGAAAGAGATCTTAACTTTACAGTAACGCCTTTGAGTAGCAAGGCTCTTTTGAGACATTCAGGACAGAAGTCTGAACTACCTTGTTTTTGAAAGCGGGAGAAATCCATGGGTTCATGCAGTAGCAGCACGTGGAAGAAAGCACGTGGTGTGAGTGCAACGATGCCAAGCTCAGTGCAGCTGGTCACTGCAGCAGAGCCCTTCTTGCAATAGGGTCTGGGCAGTTTGGAAAGGGAAAAGTTTTACCTGGCAATCCCCAGCATGCAAGTCATTGCAACTTGTGTTTCTGACATCTCTACAGACGTAGAGATGGTAAAGGGAAGATTTACTAGATTAATCATTTCAGACCATACAAAGATACAGGAAGCCACTCTGCTCATCTAGTCTATCTTTTCTGTCTAGCACTGGTGATTACATTTCAGTAATATTTTTTGCATTGAATCCAATAAGGTGTGATGATATTGTAGTACTTATTTCACAGAGACATCTGGCCTTGACTGAAAGATCTCACTAGGCTTTGGATCATAAGCTTTGGGATGTCATAAGAACAAGACAATTATTCCACAAATAAAGGGAAATGCTCTACAAATTTTAGTTGAACTAAGTAAAGAAATAAATCTGTAAACCATCAAGTATTGTGTCTGTTTATAATTATTATCATGGAAGAAATACAATGCTAGTTGAGCAATATAATTCTTTTTGTGCTTTGGGATTTCCTAGTTTGCATCTTTTTGCCTACAGATCTAGATCTCCAGAGTAGATAAATTTGCTTTCTTGGTGTTGCATATAAATGTTTCTTGACAGGAAATTTTTCCTTTCAAAGTATTGTTCATGTGACTCTGTTTAGAAAACTCTGTTCAAATATTGTTCTTTACTTTGTTCTTGTAAGTGGTGAGTAATGCCCAGATTTGCTCACATGGTGCGCTGTATTCATGACAAAAGTCTTGAAATAACTTGAGCTGGCCATCATTCACAAGGCTTAAGTATTTCAGTCTCTCCTGACTCCAGGCTCATCAGTGCTAGCAGCTGAAGATGGATTTAACTGCTGGCCAAATAACAAAGGTATGCAGAGTTACACATAAAAAATGCACTATCTGGAAGTACCTAGACAACTCTTCAAAAAAAAAAAAAATTACAAAATAACCTAGGGGGCATAAGAATCAGAGCTGGATTTTAGTATTTTCAATCTGTTCTCACCCTTCCTCCTGGGACTGCGGTTGATCTTTGATCATTTCCCTCATTTACAAACGCTGTCATCTCACCATTCTCCTCCTACTCCATATCATTAATACAAATCTGGAAACAATAGTATTTTTGCTGCTAAACCGTGGCAACATTCAACTATTTGTTTCCCGTTCTAAAACGGATCATTCATTATAACCCGTATCCCCCAAAGAATTTTATCGCTTGAAACCTGTTTGCAGTGAATCTAAAGTAGTTGGAAAATCATCTTCTCAAGAATTCCTATGCTGGAACCTACTTCTGGAATTCCAATAAAGCGCAGAGTCCCTCTGCAGGCAATATCCATTTTTCTTCTTTTTGATATAGTCTGCAGCAGTAACCCCTGCAGCTGCTCATGATCCGTTTTCGTCGCTGAGATTCACTGCTCGGCTACATTAGCTCTTGTACCCACTTCATCCAGGAGAGTTTCGATAATTGCCTCATTGCTTCTTTGTTTCAACTACCTCTATGCTTATCACAGAGGTCAGCTTCTCCTTTATCTCCGCTATAACAACTTGTTATTTCCTAGGCTCTCTTTGAAGGGACAGGCTGCAACTCCTGCCTCCTGCCTCACGCCAGTTTTAGCGGATTTTCTACAGCGCGTTTGAATATTTCCTCAAAAACAGGACTTTTCATCATTTCAGCGTCATATTTTATTTTATTTTCCAGGATGACCACGCAGGGAAAGGCTTGGATGAACACTGTGGCCTGTACCATGGAGTACAATCAAAATACTTTTTTCCTGTGCATTTAAGATATGTGTAAGGAGGGCTTTTCCCAAAAGATTTGGGCGGATGCTAGAATAATTTTTTGAACTGGTTTGGATTTTTCCTTCTTTTGCAGCAGATTGAGCAGACATAACATACCTCTTTTTACTTCAGGAAGGTTATGTAACCTAGTAGTGTTAAACCTAAATAAATAAATAAATAAATAAGGTGAGAATTGGGACTCAWATTGCATGACTGCTGCTGGAAAAGCAAGAAATGCCGAATATGAAGCAAAATAGCACAGATGTTACCTATAGTTGCTAAATGTGAAGGTAACTATGCATATGCAATATTTATTACCAGAGAAGCTAACACCCTTTAAATTCTTCATGGTGAAGAATAAAGTCAAACGTTMGGAGCTTTATTCACACAAGGGTGAAAATTGAATGGGCATGAAAAGCCAGTCAACCTTCACTGTTTGGGAGAATCAGACAACTAAATATCAYCGGGACTTTCAAAAAAAAAAACCACAGATGATCAAATTTTGGTCTAAACTATAGAACATACAAAGACTTTTTTGGGAAGTATCCTATTCTGAATACCAGCAAATTCTGGACAATTGAAAAGTGGGTAATAAGGGTTAGAAAAAATAAAGGAAGTACTAGATAGCACCAGGTTTATTAAAATAAGGTTATCTGCTGCTCACAAATTGTCACCAGAGCACGGAGTGAGAAACATGGACAGGGCACCAGGGCACCTTTTTCCAGTGATACTGATGACTTCTTTCACYCTGGAGACTTTCAGTGGATAGTACTTACCCATTCCTCTTTTTGAAAATGTGTTTCTTGACATAAAACAAGAGATCTTCACATTTCAATTAAGACATTGCCTCACGTAAAATACCTTCTCTTAGGTGAGCGGGCCTTCAACCAGCAGCTACGCTCTCCAGAAATCCAGCTGTTGCCAGCTTTCCAACTGGTATCCGCACCAGGCAGCTCAACTTCTGAAGCAGATGCAACCGATTTGTAATAAGGTAACCCTGGCCATGCACATGTTCATAAAAAAAGGACTCCTTTGCTGGGCTTTAACAGCTACCATGAAACCTACACACGCCAGGCTGCCACATGCTCAGCACGCAAGGAAAAAGCAGCATGACTTAGTGCCTAGGCCACCTACCTGGCCACAGGGAGATTTAAGGTCTATTCCCAGAGCTGCCACCAGCTGCCTGGGTGACCCTGGGAAAGTCGCTCAGCTTATTTTCCCTCACGATGTTCTCTATTTAACTTGCAATTTCTGTGAGACAGCAAATGGTTTTCTCCACTGGGGTGTGTGTGGTTCCTCTCCCAGTGGGACCTCCGTCTCAGCTGGGACTTTGAGGTACCACAGTAACAAATAAAACCCAAGTAGCTAGCAGGTGACAAGAAGCACACGTTGACCTCAGCAGAAATCTTCTGGCTGCAGCAGTGGCTTATTTTAATCCATGAGAGCAAAACACATTTGGCGTCACCGAAGCCTCAGTGTCTCTTGCTATCACCATTTCTCAAAATGAGTGAAAAGACTGCC